CGCTTCCCGGAAGCGCGGCGCTGGGTGTGCGCGCGGGCGTGCGGGCCGGGGGTGCGGGGCTCAGCCCCAGGGTTCTTCAGCCAGGTCGGGAAGTCACCCGGGCCGCCGCGAGCCCGCCAGCCCCGCACGCTCGGGCCGGGAACTTTCTCTCTGACTCTTGCCGTCTCGCAGACACAGGGAGCGCCTCTGCGACCCGCGCCGCGGGCTTCCCCGCAGTGCCCCCAGCCCCCGAGTCTCCTAGGCTCCCTGGGTGTCTGCGCGTCCCCCCTTCCGCCCCCGACTGCGGAACGGCTCCCCCAGGGGGATACCCAGAGAACCTGCAGGCAAACCGGCACGGTCCTGGGGTCCCTCAGATCTGGAACTTCATAGCTGAGAGATGGGTCACGTTGCTTCACCCCTGGCACGGTTCCGCCAGCCAAGTGTGTCGGGAGGTGCCCTGCTGGCTAGGGTTGGGCCCTGTAACCAGAATATCGGGGAGCGGATTTACCTTGAAGCCAATGAAGTTTAAGCTTCATAGTCCTTCGGTGGTCATTTTGTGTTAGCAGGCTTGTATTCCTTTTCTTAAAGAGCACCCCCGACCCTTAAACTGCATAAGTAAGCTTGGCTCTCAAAAAATGTGGATCCACCCCTGAGTCCAACTCACAGCTTTCCCACTGTAACTACCGATCTGCAAGAGAAGACACAGCCTGGCTGCCTCATGGGACGATCCCCAGGGGCTAGGGCAGTTCCTTAGTGCTCCGGGGGGATGAAGCCCTGAGCAGGAGGCTGGGGAAATTTGAGGCTGGGAGGCAGCTGCTGGTGTGCAGGGAAGGGTCTGGCTGCCTGACCTTTCTCTCTGGCGCCACTAGTCCCTTGTCCCAGCCTACCATCTTCCACTGTGGTCTTCAACTGTCTTGGTTTGCCCGGAACCGTCTGGTTTTAGCCCTGAAAAGTCCTGCCTCCTGGGAAACCCCTCAGTCCTGGACAAACCAAGACAGGGTGTCAGCCTACATCCACAACCTTCTCAGAGCTGTTTTGCAGGGGTGGCTGGGCCTTCTTCAGGAGGATGGGAGAGACTTGCTTTCTGGGGGGCAGATTTGGCCTAGGCCTCCACCAGGCCTAACAGATGGTAACTGCAGCTTCCTAGAAGGTCTTCCAGAAACCAAAGGGGGAAAGTTTGTCAACTGTGTACTTCTCCACTCTAGCTAATTGCAAATTCCTGTGTTTAGGCTGCTTTTGTGTTAGTAGAGGGCAGAGCAGGGCATCTGAACTTGGCCAGCAGGCCTCCTGATTGTGCTGCAAAATCTGTGGGGTCACTTGGTCCTGTCAGCTGTGGCGGCCACAGGGAAGGGGCCCTTGTCAGTCCAGATACCTCTGTGAGTTTCACCTGTGAAGCCCACTGGTAACGCCATCTTGGAGACAGCTGCACTGTGTTGGAAGCAGGGCCCTCAGGCTGAGGCACATCTGACAGCCTCCGCTGAGTTCTGGAATATCTGGTCTGCCCAGACCCTGGGGCAAAGAGTCTCCCCCTGCCCCCCTACACACACCTCCCAAACCCAGTGCAGGAACCCTTCCTCAGGACTTTCCTGCCAGGTGCAGGGACAAACTGCTAGGGCCTGCCCCAGACTTTGAAAGGCAGCCAGGAGCACCCCCTTTCTCCTCACCATAACCTGGGGGCTGATCAGCTGGTTTGCCTCTGCTGTCCCTAGAGGCATTTCAAGGACATTCCAGAGCACTCTTGGCAACGTTGACTTGAGAGTACATGCTCATCTCCTGTGGACTGTGTTGGGTGCAAACTACCTCCCCCAGCCGCAGGGGATCGAGGATTCCACCCTGGTGTTGCGAGTGTGCGCCTGGACCTGGAGACAGCTCGGGTGGGGCGTAGGCCCGGGCACAGGGGTTACCTGCCTGCCCAGCAATTCCCCATGAGCTGAGAGGGTGGCTGCTGGATGGGTGAGGCTTATGTCTGGCCCTGTCCATCCAGCAGGCCCCTTCCTGGCTAAGAGCTCCAGTCACCTAAACCCTCCAAGGCTTGCTGGGTAGCTCTGTAAAGTGGAAGGCCTCTGTGGAGGCCCTTTTCCAGATCACTGTGGGAGCTCGATGCTCACAACTGGGGGTGCAGAGAGGGCTGCCTGTGGACACGAGCAGCGCTTCACACACAGCAGCGATCCCCTGCTGACATACCCTACCTGCTTCTTCAGCCCCTGGCTCAGCAGCCCAGGCCTGCTCCTGTCCCTGAGGTGGGGGGCAGAGGGCCCCCGACTCCCCAGGGGGATGCTGATTGGGTAGCTGCTAATTGGAGGCTTGGGGGAGCTGGTGTTGGGACAGAGCCCCAAGCCCAACACATGAACAAGAGAGTGGGAAAATGCCTCCAGCCAGTCAAGTCCTGGTTTGTGGGTCAGGGCCAGACCCTTGAAATGGAGGAGGAGCGGCCCTGGGACTTGAGAGTAAAGCTGCAGCCCTTATGGAGGGATCAGGTAGCACAGAGGCATCTAGAGCCAGAAGCTACCCCTTGCCAGCCTGTCAGGCCCATTGCCGTTGACCCTGTGTGGCCCCCAGCTCCGGCTGGGGTGAGGGGTTGGTACGAAATGTGCCCGAAGCAGCAGTGCCTAAGCCTCCTTCAGACCCTCGGGGTATAGCTCGGGCTGCAGTGGCGGGGGAGACCTCAAGCTCGCAGTCCTGAGGGACAGTGAGGCTGAGCAAAATGGTATATTTAACATCAAATATACTCAAGGACTATTAGGATTAAGTATTCAAGATGAAGGGGAAAGCGAAACCCTCTGAGCTGCGGCTGAGGCATCTCATTAGAAGCAGCCTCTCTTCTATTTTCTCAAAGCCTGACTTCCCCGCTTAGGCTAGAGGAAGATGGGCTGTAGCCCCACTCCCCCATTTCCACCCCTGTCAGGTACCCTGCTTTGGAGCCTCCCGGGGCTTCACGGGCACAGCCTGGCCTCCAGGTCTCATGTATACTCAGTAAGTCCCCCATGGTCAGGGTGCCACAGTTTACAAGGCACATTCACATACATTAACTCATCTAATCCCCACAGCAACCTTGGATAGCGGAGCAGGTCTCCCACTTCACAAACAGGGAAACTGAGGCCCAGACAAAGTGATTTGCTAAGGTCCACCATTGGTAATAGGCAGAGATGGGATGAAATCCCAACTGGTGGTTCTTGCCTTCTCCTTGCCTGGGTCTAGTCCTCAGAAGTGTCTGCCAGGGATGAACCTCTGACACATCTTTTTGAAGCCCTCCTTGGCCTTTAGAAAATCCATTAATATTTCCATTCCCTCTTGGAACATGGTACCATCAAGAGGGAAAAAAAAAAAGCTCTTGGTATTTAAGAGTGGCCTTCCTAGAGTAGGCAGCCTGGGCACTAGCCCCAAGGCTCTTGGGGAAAAGTAGGGTTCAGGAGGAGAGGAGATGGACACTATCTTCCTTCCTGCCTCCTGAGTTACAGAGCAAGAATTTTCAACTCCGAAATAGCAGGAATCTTTTGTTCACTGTGGTTTCGCCAGTGCCTTAGAATAATACATGCTCAATAAATAGTTTTGGAATGAGAAAAACCTTCAAGTCCATGCTGTGCTTGCTCAGAGAGAAGCTGAGACAGGATCCTGCTCCCTATGGAATTAGGATGCTCTTGCGGGGTGGGGGTTGCTGGGGTAAGGGTGATGCTGGAAGACTCAAAGTGGGAGAGTTTGTACCCTGCAGAGTGTTAACTTTGCCAAACAATCCAGGAGGCAACCAGAAGCCTCCGGCAGAGCTGGAAGAAAGGGAGGGTACGAGATCAGAGAAAGATCGCCCAGGTGGGCGGGGGGCGGGGGTCAGAAACTAAGGCTGAGGGGTTGGGAGTGGAAAAAAAGCGTGGTCCACGGGACAAATATCTGGGATGAGGACCCTGGGTGCTGCGCAGAACCAAGCGCCGAGCTAGGGCCGAGCGACCTCCAGGTGGCGCTGCGGAGCCGGGCAGCCGCGCGTCTCCACTCCCCATTAACCCGGGAGGGAGGGGGGCCTCGGGAAATGTGTGCATTTATTCAGTAGCAGGAGTGCAAACCTCATACATTGAGGGAGAAAGGCAGCGGGAGACGGCCGCCGAGATTCCCTCATCTCTTTGAATATAATTTTAGATTGAGATTCAGATTAAATCCGAGGGGAAAACACTTTATGAGGCTGAAAGCTGTGTCGTTGCCAGAGCCAGGGTTATGAGCTATCAAATGCAATTACATTAAGACAGATTATACTGGGCAAATTGAGCCATTTAGAAGGTGAGAATCAAAGAAACGGCTCTGATCCTCTCTTCCCCCTTCTCTCTCCCTCTCCCTCTCTCTCTCTCTCTCTCTAAATTGCAGTTCGTAGTTCCTTGCAATTCTGAGGCACAAAAGTAGGTGAGACTGCTTTTGTATCTGCGAAGTGCTTCGCTCCTGAATGTAATTCTAGCTGAGTGCAATCTAGGTTAAGAGCCGGACAAGCGGGTAATTAGAGCCCGCTCGCTGCCCGAGGACCGGCCGCCCCGCCGAAGCGCGCCCGGAGTCGGCGCCCTTCTCCCGGCCGAGCCGAGCTGCGGCTGGACACGGAGCGCCCGAGATGATGGTGCTGGACAAGGAGGACGGTAGGTGGCGGGCAGGGGGCCGCCGCCCCGCACCCCCTCGCCCCCCGC